ACTTGTCTCGATGGCCCCTCCGCCAACCTACTGATGGTAATAGTCTATGGTTTCTCCAGGCGGTATGTTTTAGTCCTTCAACCATGTAGTTAGTCGTTGCTTGTGTTGTTTCATGACCCAATCATCCGAACGGCCATTTCTCTATGCCATAATGATAGCCAAGTGTTCATTAATGTATAGTTACATCAGTGTGTACTCTGCAAGACACTGTAATGTGCTCGACTCACCTCTTTGTAATCATGGTCGATGAACACTTTTCTATCATTGGTGCCCTTCCCACCAAAATTACCCTTGTGACGAGAATTGGGTTTACTAATCCCTTTCTATACTTTTAGGTACTCTTGATAGCACTCGACGACTTCTTCAGTATTGTAACCCTCTATCATGGAGCCCTCTAGGTATGCTCGATTATGCACGTATCGACTTAGAACCGACATGAACCGCTCGTAGGACCATATTTCATGCAAGTAGTAAGGGCCCAGTGCCTGTATCTGATGAACCATGTGAATCATGAGATATGGCATTATATCAAAAAAAGCAGGAGATAAACACATCTCTAGTTGGTTTTGTGTCTCCACCACAAATTCATGTAGGTCACTCAGCTCTTGCTTACCAATCATCTTCTGTGAGATCTTCGAAAAGAAGTAGCACATGCGGGTGATGGCCATTTTCAAGAACTCTAGCTTTATAGCCCTGATTGCAATAGGTAGAAACACTGTCAGCATCACATGACAATCGTGAGCCTTGTAGTGTGTTATTGACAAGTCATTCATCGACACTAGCTTCTTCACATTTGCTAAAAACCCAGTCGGGACTTTGACACCCCTCAGGAAAGTGCATATAGCTCTCTTCTCGTCTGGTGTTAGGTTGAAGCACGCCGTGGGCAGAGTGTATTTTCCATTAGCCTCAGGTACCGGGTGAAGCTGTGACATCATGTTTACCTGCACCATGTCTTTCTGTGCTTTCAGACCATCCTTTGACTTGCCTATGTCCATCAAGGTAGCAATGAGACTATCAAAGACATTTTTCTGCACGTGCATAGCATCAATGGCATGGGGGACCTCCAAGTCTGGCCAATAAGGCAGATACTGAAGAAGATCGATTGTTTCTTGAAAGGTACGCCTTCGACAGGAGGTGTGCTTCTATCTCTGTTCGTCCCATCCGAATTCTTCTTTCCATAGACGACGCATATGTTTTTCACCATTCTATACACGTGTTCTCCGTTATGACGTCTCTCCGGAGGGGGTTCAATCTCCGGGGTGTTGTCATAAAATCTAAAGATCAATTTGCTGCGGTACTTGTGACTTGTCTTTAAGAAGCGTTGGTTCCTTAGGTAAACTATCTTCTTGGATGCATCTAGGTACACCCATGTAGTACCATCCAAGCAAACCAAGCATCACGTCTTCCCTTTGATCTATCCAGACAAAGCAAACAGCGCGGGGTAATCATTGGTAGTAACAAATATTATTACTCTACATATGAAGTCCTCCTTTCGAAACGCATCATACATCGGCTCCCCATGCCTCCATAGCCTCTCCATTTCTTGCATCAAAGGCTCGAGGAACATGTCTATATCAATGCCTGGTTGTTTAGGGCTAGAAATAAGAATAGTGAGGAGAAGGTACTTTCTCTTCTGACACAACCATGTTGGGATATTGTACATGGTCAAGATCACTGGCCAAGTGCTGTGGTCGCTCATCCTCTCATTGAAGGGATTCATTCCATCGGTGCTCAAGCCAAAACGTACATTCCTTGGGTCATCGCTGAATTATTTATGCTTCTCATCGAACCTTTGCCACTGACTATAATCAGTCGGGTGTGCAATCTTATCATTATCCACCTTGCGCTCATCATCCCACCATGTCATGAGTGTGGCTTCTTTAGGGTTTAGGAAGATACGTCTCAAGCGGTCGGGCACTGGCATGTACCACATTACCAAGGTAGGAATTCTTCTCTGCTTTGCATTGTTGCCTAATGGAGTGTCCTCTGGGGGCTAAGATTCTTGTGCCACCTTTTTTGTACCCTTCTTATTCCTCTTTTTCCCTGTGGAGGCTTCGTCCCCACCGTAAAGGTCATTGTTCTTGTACCGGCTGGCCCCACACCGGGGACATTTATCCAGTGACTTGAATGTTTCGCCATGAAAAAGTATACAATGGTTGGGGCATGCATGGATTTTTCAACCCCCATTGTCAATGGACTTATGACCTTCTTCGCTTGGTATGTGTTGGCGGGAACAGAGTTTGGTTGTGGCAGCACCCATGACAGGAGATGCAATAGATCATTGAAACTATAGTCTAACCAGTCGTACATAGCCTTCAGGATGAGTAGCTCAAGCACAAAACGTAGCAATGTCCAATGTATCGGACAACCCTTTTCAACACCATAGACAGTCTCCTTCGATATTTTTGTCATCCTTTCCAAATTTTCTAGACCTTTCGAGCTATTTAGTAAAATCTCTAGTCCAAGGGCTCGAATCATGTCCTCCAAATCATCTTCATCCCGGACATGTGCTCCACCATCATTATTGGCACCACCTTTGTCGTTACCATCCCAACCACCAGCATCACCACCTCGTTCATTGTCAAACTCCGAATCCATTCGTGCATCAAGCTATGCTGAATATTGGGACAGGGATTCTAGGGTTTCATCGTCGTATTCCTCCTCATCCTCGTCGTTAACAATAACCGTTTCACCATGATGAATCCACACTGTGTAGTCCTCAACAAATCCTCGCATAATCAAATATGATCTAATGATAGTCACATCTGTCCATGCCATACGGTTCTTGCAATCTTTACAGGGATAAATAATTGTATCCTTATTCTCTGTCAATGTCGTTGCATGCTTCTTTGCGGCTTCAATAAATTTATCCACCGTTTCACGGAAACCTGGCTTAAACCTTAACGAACCATACATCCAAGAGTTCCTGTACTCCATCTTTTACAACAACAACAAAACAAACATTAAAGGACTACTTATTCAGATATATATATATATAAATGAATCAAATTAATAATTACTTGAGAATAATTGTATATACTTTAGATATATATGAATATAAATCAAATATAATTACATGAAGCATACAAACACACCATGGTAGAAGAAAAATTATTAATGACCCATTTATCCATTAATAATTAAAATACATATTTGTTGATTACAATAAACAATTTCAAAGACAACAATTAGCAACAATTATATTTTACCCAATATCTTTCATGCAAACCCTAGTCCAATTTCATCAAACACAAATTTACAAAACTGAAATTAATAAAAAACCAAACCCTAGATCTAGATCTACATGCACATGAAACATCCATAAAACTAACTAATTGTTCACTAAAATCAAGAAACATGGACCAAATAAGGGTATGATCTTGTTCCCCTCCCTAATTTACCCTAGTACATTCAAAACTTAGGTCTAATTTGCTTCATAAGTAGCTCAAGCACCATAGAAGAGAGAGAAAAACAAAACTCTAATTACTCACTAACCAACCATTAAAACTTCAAAAAAAAGTGTGGAATCACATTTTCTTACTATCTACAACCTCTCCACCAAAGGATTTAAGACCAAAACCTTCCTCCCTTAATAGAGCAATTTTTGGGAGGTGCCCAAAGCCTCCCCACCTTTCTTTCACGGGTTGGAGTGAGTGACCCGAGGAGGAAGAAGGTGGTGCAGTTTGCTATATATGTGGGTCATTTGTAGGGGCGGTTGGTGATGGAACCGCCCCTACAAATCGGAGGTATTTATAAGTGGGCATTTATAGGGGCGGCTCACTGACCAGCCGCCCCTACAAATAACAATACCAGGGGCGGCTGGTGAGTGAGCCGCCCCTACAAATCCGACCCATTTGTAGGGGCGGCTCGTATGACCAGTCGCCCCTGCTGTTCCATTTCTAGGGGCGGCTGGTCTCTGGGCTCCCGAGCACGTCACTGTAGGGGCGGCTCCATCACCAGCCGCTCCTAAAAAAAATTACCCTGTTGCTACAAACCGTTTTTTACGTAGTGGTAGCAACAAATGAAGTCTCATTTGTCACACTAATTGCTTCATTCAAACATGACACATTGCTGGTCTTCATGCTCAAGTAGTACATCTTTGAAAGACATACAACCTAGTATAGCCTAAAAAATATATGAATAAATTAGTTATATAACTTTTGGTAACACAAGACAGCTGCCAAATTAGTAGCGAATTGTGTGGGTTCATGGTGTTCCCAACTCGAGCTAGTGTGGGCAGCTGGTCTTACCAGTGGGGGCAAGGCTGCACAGAGCTTGGACAGCTCAAATCTGTGCTGGCAGTGTTTTGCCGGACTGTTCACCAGAGCAGGTGTTCGTGCAGACTGATAAGTCTGAAGTTGTGCATTTTAGAACGGTCCAGGGTGTTCTATCGGATTGTCCGTGGATGCACGATAGAGCCCAGAAAATGCAGAATTTTGTTTGCAAGTTTTCCAAAATTGAGATTAATGTCATGTTCGCTTTGCTTGTAAGCCGTACTTTTTCAACCAACAAATAATATTTTTCTCTCACAACAAATTAGCCAACAACACTTTTAGCCATGGCTTATCAGCCAAGTGAATATGGCATAAAATGCTAATGATGCAATGCTTATGCATTAGTCACGACCGGGTCGTGACAATAGGCCTCTAACCTAGCCCCATCCAAAGAGTTCCAGATAGCACTGGAAGCATTCGGTGAAGCATAGCTATTTTTGTAGTAGCTATTGACATATATGTTTTGCATTAATGAATAAGTCTAATGTAAAATCTTCTGTCAATATTTCAAGGCAAAGTTAAAGCCAACTAGACAAAATATTTAATAAAGTCAGGTGAAATATGTAAATGTTTACGTTATATACACTTCATACAAGCATAAATAGTAAAAATAGTGACAAACATATTCGATTGCTGTGTTTTTGCCACTGAATATGGCACTAGACACTTAACTGGTTCATGAATAATTATAATGGATGACTGGCCAATGAAGCTTGAGAGGCACATCTAACGTGGCAAACCAGCACTTGACAGAAACTCTTCTTCTAAGCTGTAGAACTTTTTGCTTTGTTGAGATGATGCACATCTATGTTTTTTTCCAAAATCCATACTAGACAATTGAATGCTACCTATATTCGTTTTTGTTAACAAGGTTTGTCTTTCTTCATCTATTCCAATGTTAGCTTCATTTATTTCGACTCGTTTTGACCTCAAAAATTGTAATGCCGTCTCCACTTGTTTCATAGTAGGCCTTTTGTCACTTTGGAGTCTCAAACACATCTCCACGAGTGAGGCAACACAATTGATTTCTTCCTCATATGCTTCCTCAAGAACTTGATGAGCCACTATCTCTGAAATAGGCCTACCCTTCATCTCCCATAGAAAGTAGTTTGACAAGTTTTGCTTCAGACCTGACTCAGTTGTGATAATAGGATCCATTCTTAAAAGCAATTCCAGGAGTACCACACCAAAACTATAAACATCACTCTTGTCGTTTAACTGCCCAGTATGGTAATACTCTGGATCCAAGTACCCAAATGTGCCTTGGACATTTGTAACAACATGTGTTTGGTCAATTGGAACTAATCTTGAAGCACCAAAATCTGACACTTTAGCCGTGTAGTTAGAATCAAGGAGAATGTTGGATGACTTAACATCACGATGGAAAACTGATACTGAAGCTGCAGAGTGAAGATAACAAAGAGCGCCAGCAGCTTCTGCCGCAATTCTGAGACAGCTATCCCATGATAAAACAAATTCATTGCTTGATTCAGCATGAAGTATCTCGTATAGTGAACCATTAGGGATAAAATCATAGACCAATAGTGGGACTTCAGTCTCAAGGCAGCAACCAAATAGCTTAACAATATTCCTATGATTTATTTGGGAAAGAATTGCAACTTCATTGATAAACTGATTGATCTCACCTTCCTCAATGATCTTAGACCTTTTTATTGCCACCACACGTTGGTCAGATAGGATGCCTTTATAAACTGTACCATGTCCTCCACAGCCTAGGATGCGAGTGGAATCAAAGTTATTTGTTGCCTTTTCAAGCTCCTCCAAGGAAAAAATCTTTGTCTTCTCGGTAGCATTTACGTCAGTTAATATTAATTGTTCGAGAAGAAGACCTTTGTTTCTTCGGAAATAGTTCCTTCGCATTCGCTTTTGAATGTTTCTTCTCCATCTGCGGGTAAGGTATATCGCACTTACACTTAGAAGTAGAACAGTAAGACCACTGCTCACTCCAATGACAATACCTGAAATTTTAGGTTGATAAGTTTCAGTTTAGACATAATTCCTCCTATGCCACTGTTAAATTTCATAAATTGGGATGTGCCGTTGCATGTCGTATTTAACCATATAACTAGGTCAAAAGCATTGCTTACCTACGAGAACATTCTGTTGTTTCACTGAGGTGCACTGCAATTTTGTAGAATCATATACTGTCTTCTGGGGGCATTCCGTGCAGTTGTAGCTTCCTATAGTATTGTAGCACATCATCCCATGGCATTTGCTTGGATCCTTACATTCATCAATATCTACAAATTAACGAGATAATTTTTTCCTTAAATATTAAAGTTGTATAAAATCATTCCTTTGTTTCACTTGCTGAAATTACTCCCTCGGTTTCCTGATGCAATATCTAGAAATTCATAGGATCTGTAATTGTCTCAAGAACATATGTTGGACTGTCATGGTAAAGATCCAAAATTTTAAATGCGATAAATGTCAACATTAATTGAAAAATATGTTTTAGGTTGATCCAGCTCAATGCAGCAGTATTTTTGAGAGAGTTTCATTATGGATGTTATTATCAATAGTGCATATCTGTGGAAAAAATATATTAAAAATCATATCAGATATTTATTTTTGTAGTGTTTGTTTTCTAGCTGGTGGCTAGGCAGACTTATAAAAATGAACAAAGCTGTTCTTTTTAAAACATATATATTTAGCCCCTATTAGAACAATTGTGCAATGAGATCCAAATAAACTTTGCGAAACAAAATAAGGTATAGTTTGATTACCTTGACAACCATTTTTGACGTAAGGATTTCCCTCAAAGCCGTTGGAGCATTTGCATTGGTAGCCAACATATCCATTATTGGTAGTATTGACTGGGATGCAATTGCTATTGGTACTGACACATGCGTATCCAGATCTATTTGCCTGTGCGTCTTGACAAGTTAGATTAGCAACAACCCATTTCAAAGAAACGGACTCACCGGAATCAACGAAAACACCAGGGTCGTCACGAGTTACTGACACAACTGATCCTTCGTCTATATCTGGGAATATGAATTTTATGAGCCCGTTCTCAACATCAATTTCTGTCACCACAAAAGAGTATCCCAGTAGGAGGGTGGAAGACGTCTCATTTGTGCAGTTCAAATAAAACTGTTCCCTTGCATAACAACCTTCTTCAATTCCAAATGGAAAAGGAACGGTGATGTTTCCACATAAACTGCGGCAATTGGGTTTTTGTTGAGCTGGGTTGTAACCTATATCACAAAAGTTGTTGCAAATGTTCAAAAAGGATAAATCATATATATGTGTAGGATACATCATACTTATAGCTAGCCGTCAGTCCTTGATATGGATAATGCACCGTACCACGAGGTATGCACCATTCTTAATTATACACACAGTGCAGACATGGTCTCGGTAAGGAATGTCCTCTGATATCACGAAAGTTATCATAAGCCGTGGTTTATTCTATCAGAAAAATCTAACTAGATATGACTACACGTTGACGCCGAATTGAGTCACACACCAGCAAGGGCTAGCGCGCCCGAGTGGTCACACACCACCTAGATCGCAGCAAGAACGCAGTAAATCAGCGAAACCGACTAGCAAGCCGGTTAGGCCGATTCGATGCCTGTTCTTTGCTTGGTAGACTCTTGAACACCTCCTGGGAAGACCCGTCGGGGAGAGACACAACGAGGTTGTGTTAGGGTCGGCAAGGCCACCTAGAACACCGCCAAATCTCATCGAGGGCATGATGAACAATAGGGGTTTAGAGAGAGTAATGGTAAAAGAATAGTATATGTGTTTTTTGACGATTGGAAGTTGGATTCCTCAATTGGTCGTGATCTTCTCGTTTATATAGAGGAGGTGGTCTTATCCCAATAGGAAACAACTCCAAGACATGCCCACATATTTCCTATGTGAAAACACGTTCCAAAACCCAGTTGGAGTCCAACTGGTCTCGGAATAGCAGTAAAACCGGCCTGGCTGATTTTCACGGCGCCTGACCACTTTGCCGGGCCAGCTACAGGGGAACCAGCCTAGCCGATTTGGCCTAGTTTGGGCAGGACTAAGCCCAAATCCGTCCTTTCTTCGCTTGGGCTTTAGTTCTTGTTGTGCCAAATATTTTCCTCCATCGCCTTGACGTCAGGAACTTATTAGTGGGGCCCAATGTCCTCCTTAGCACAATTTTTATCGTCAACACCACGGTAGGATATAGTTGTTGGCTTTTGATCTAGCTTATTCTCAGAATACTAGATCACATACTGGTTTTGTTTTCCTACTTGGTGGAACCTTCTCGTGAAATCATCAAAAGAAACTTTAGTAGCTATTTTCACTGATTATTTTGAAATAATTGGATTATATGAAGCATCAAGACAATGCGTATGCCTTAGTAGAATGATTAACAATTATAGATCATGAAACTCCCTACTATTATTTACTTATTATTTACGTGATAATAATGCAGCTTGTGTCGCTCAAGTAAATTTAGGTTATGTAAAAGCAATATTGTAAAATATATTGCTCGTGCATTATTTTATCTACATGAATTGAAAGGGTGGGGAAAATATTACCAATATTGTTAAATAGAGTATATCTATTGACAAGCTTTACCCAACCGGTAACATTCAAAAAATATCTTATTTGGTATGGGATGACTTCGATGATTGTCGTGGTTAGGGTTATAATAAACTCCTAAGTTATGGCGTGTTAATGATCACTAAATCATGAAAACCCTCTCTCCCTGTCCAGATCTCCCTTCCAAGATCTATTTCTCCCTCTCTGTAGGTCTCCCTTGTAATTTGAGAAGCCTTTTATATTAATCGTATTGTTGTCGATAAAGTATTATGCTTGAGTTAATGATCCTTTGAAGGATTATGCATTCTCCCATTGTTGTTGTTGAGAAAATGTTTGTCCATGAAGGACTATTCGTCTAATTTTAAGGGGCAAGGCTGGTTTAGATAATGTTGAGGATTAAAAGGAGAGAAATGATGCATTACAAGATTAATAGAAGGGCTATGATAACGAGTTTATGGTGTTGTGTATGGTGATAATGCTTCTAACAAGGTTGAAGGCTAGGAGTGGATAGTGGCACAAGTGTTTCTTGGATCCATTGAGGCTCTTGGCAAACATACTTCCGAACACTAACTCTTCTCCCACCAACACTTATCTCACAGAAAAGGCTTACTATTCCACTATCAATGGATATCTGAAAGATACATGATGGATATGCAAAAGATACACACATGTCTAACCCTATATATCCTCTACCATAAAGAGTATGTAGACTTGGGTAGATGCCTAGTGTTAAGGCATGTTGGCATGAAAATAATGGCAAGTATGATGAGGATGAGATGATACTTCCAGCAACACAAAGAAGTACTATTTGTGAAGAAGAAGACACTTCTTCCAATGTAGAAAAGAAGAAAAGAAGCCCTTCCATAGTGATGTAGTACTTGCCAATTATCCCCCACCTATCTTGTTTGTTCTTGAATGACATTAACTATGAACTAGTCTATTGGCATTCTTTTGACAAGCACAAAAAGGATGAAAGATTTGACACCCTAGCAATGCTAGATAATGGAGACATATAAATCATAGTATCTAGCTATCGTTGGAGAAGCAAAATGTCTTAGTACTAATGGAATGTGTTGGTGTTTTGTCACTAGAATATTGATAACAAGGCAATGTGCATGTAGGGAAGCTAGATGGTGGAACAAAACTTAGATAGGTTCAAGCCCTCATAAGGAGGTAGTACCGCATACTCTGTATTTGTAAATGTATTGCTTGTGTTCGGTATGCAAGGTAGAAGATATAGATGTGTTGCTATACTATCAAGAGGCTCCCAATCCACCATATATAGGATGGGAGTAGGGTTACAAGATCCTCCCTCCTATGATTGGGTTTATAGATATGTTTTCTAATTAGTCACAATAATAGTATCCCGAGATATCTAGGAATAGTGTTTGTCAAAGCCTTGCTTTCCAAACTAGTTGAGATACACCAGACATTATCAGGCCTCCAGGTACTCGACCTAGGCCACCCACCATAGCAGCCCCAAATCCTTCACATTCAAGCTATCTTGCAATCTTCTTGATGTCCCTAGTGGATGTGTGTCAGTTGAGTGGTTTCAACTTGCTCCCTGTAAATGTTTTCTAGAGTGATGTCCTCCTGGCATGCCGTTTTTCTTTTAGGGAGATCACAAAGGATTTAGTGAATCTAATGTTCTTGAGTGATAGTAGCCCATAATCGGGTGTGCCCTCAAGAATGCATTAGTTTTGGGGATGTTCAAGTGGTATCCAATCTCTAGCAGCTGTGACCAACCTGGGGACCCAACAGCGGGTGTACCATAAATTCCAATCAAACTCCCAAGTGGTATCTAGTTCCCGAGTGGTTTTGGGTCAACTATTGGCCCATAGAGAGCATACCCTCATAATTTGAGCCAAACCCAAACGTAGACTATAGCATTCAATCTCAAGTGGTTCGATAATTTACTAGTGACTCAATAGGGAGCATCCAACAATTAGCCTTTTTCTAGGTCTATCCGAGCAACTTAGAACATAGCAGGGGGTCAACACCTGAAACCTTGGTCAAATGGGAATTGAAGTTGAAGTGTTGCGCCCGGCCCCTTGGTACTATTTTACTTGAAATAGGGGTGACGTTCCCACCCCCTCCATAGTTACTTTTGTCTACATAACCCCTTTGAGCTTCCACATGATTTTCCATCGTGATTCCATGCCACGACCACTCAATCCCTCCCATGCTCCAATGCATCCTCCGCTCTCGACCTGTAGCCTCCTTGCACCTCAAATCCAGCATAGCACAAACCATAGATCCATTTCAAGGTGAGAGGCTCCTTCAAGATCCCATTGCAGAGTAGGCTCAATCCATCATGACCACGACCAAGTTATAGATGCTAGTCGATATGGGGCTCCTACCACCACTGAGCTTCATCGACTGGTGTCCAACAGCAGGAAAGGCGCTCCCTGCACCAAACACTTGTGATAGAATTGTATTTGTCTCCTATTTCGAGAGTGGATTTTCACTCTCGATGTACCTTTTCTTTTGTGGTCACCTTCATTAATATGGTCTTGATCTCGTCAACATCAACTCGAATGGGATTTTGCACATTCTTTCCTCATTACATTCTATGAATGTTTTCTCAAGATCGAGACCCACTTTGGATTGTTAAAATACCTTTGACTTGTCAAGACATGACCCAAGAAGACTAACCCATGAGTTGTTGGAGGCACTTGTATCCAACTCTAAGGCTAGGAAGACAATAAGTAGTTCCTCCTCCAATTCCTGACCTCCACAAGGGTTGGCACTCAGTGTTGTACTATTGCTCCAATGTTGCCCTAATGCTCCGACAGTACATCAGCCTCTATCCAGAGGCCAGTCTATCATGGATGTTCATGCTAGAAACCAAGGATATGTAGTAGGTGGACATGCTCCTTGGTGTGATTGAAGACCTCCAAAGCAAGGTCATGCATGGAGTCAAGGTCATTGCTAGTTTTCTCGGTCATCATATCTAGCCCATCAATCTCTAGGTCCATCCGATGCTCGAGTACACAGATGTGCATGACTTGACATGAAAGTCTAGGGCCTAGATATCATCTGTAAAGCTTGAGAAATGTGACACCATGTTTTTTTGTGTTGAGCACATACCCAAACAACCAAGGGCACCTAAAACCTCCGCGTTGGCCTTTCCTCCAACCAGGTAAATAGCTTCCTTTAGTATTCGACTTGTTTTCTCCTTACGTCCAAGCACTAAAACAATCTGGCCATTGATTGCAAGAGCTAGATGGATAGGTCTCCACGGTTCACCTCCTCGAGTAAGAAGAGAAGGAGCCAAAGAATAGGTCGGGTGGGTCTTTCACTAACTAGCTACCTCTAAAGAAGGCAAAGATGCTTGTCGCTGATACCACGAAGGAGTTAGAGAAAAAGAAGTCCTCCACTAGATAGCCAAGTAGCAAGCAATCGACAAAAGAGCCATTAAACAAGGTGCCTTCACCCCATAACTCCAAGGAGCCCCTCATCATCAAGAGGGTGGATGGTGAAAGATGGTTGATGGTCTAGAATAATTAACTCATTCGAAGCTATATATATTGAATGATAAATATGCCAAGTTCAAGATGGTTGATGGTGAAAGTGTGCCGGAATTGTTCCACCGATTCAATGTGATTGTGAATGAGTTGAGGAACTTGGGATTCAAGGTGGATGACGAGGATTTATCACACAAGTTCTTACGAAGATTGCCATCAAGATTCAAGGGCCAAGACTCTTGTGACCATCATTGTGAGAGGAGGATTGAAGGATCT